TCCCCCCCGCCTCCCATTCATGTCTCCAAGCAAAGGAGGTGCGTGGCCTGGGCGGGGGGCGAAGGGAAAGGGGCGCGGGGGCAGCCGTCAGTCCCCCCGGCCGCTCTCTCTTGCGATCTAGCGTTCAAGCAGGACCAGGAGAAGGTGCAAGCCCGTGGAGAGGGACAGGCAGGGCTGGGGGGGATTTCAACAGCAGGGCGAGGCAGACAACATCTGGGCAACCTTTCCAAAGGGATCCGAGACTTCCCTGTCGCTCGGGGAAGGTGGGCTCCGGGAGACAAGCCGGCGGGTGGAAGAGCCGACTGCTTCGCAACGCACCGGCCCCGCCAGTCCCCGGCTGCGTACAGTAAGAGCAGGCCCTTGCGATTAATTATACAGAAGGCTCTAGGACATGCAGCTCCCTCCCCCCATCTCTCTCCCTCTCCCTCTTTGTTAAGGGGGGAGAGCAGTGGAAAGTTTCAGCCCTGTAGACCAACTCATTGCACTTCTGATTTCCGGGTGGCACTGCTGGATTTCTACCGCAGATGCACTGACACCAGCGTCTACTGACGTTCCTGTTCGCTATAGACTGGGCCAAAAGAAAACACCCGTTTGGCAGACAAGTGCCTACTTTTGCAGCGGTTTCATCCCTTATATATGTGCACATCACGCTACGCTTCCTTTTCTTCTCTGGCACCGAAAATGATGGCCTAATACGTTGTGGCAAATCACTGCGCCGTATATCAGGATGGTCGTGGTTCCCATAAGGATGTGCAGCAGTGGTATGTGCATGTGCAGAGCGGGGAATGGCAAGGATTAATTACAACCAATTTGGCGCCATGGGTTTCGGATGTATTTACCTGACATACACTATTTCATAATAGCCAAGTCAAATTACCCAGCTCTGGTACTAGGGATATAGAAGCAAAAACGGATCAGCTGTATATTAAAGGGGGAGTGGTTGCAATGAAATAAAAATATTTTCTTGGTGAGGGTGGAAGACCAAATTAATGATTATAAAACTATAGTATTTACCCTCCAGATAAGTGTGTTAACCCAAACAATATATCATTGTTTTGGTTTGGTGAGAAGTGCAGAATAGCACGAGTAGAGGGAGCTACCTATCACTACGTCGTTTTTTAATATTTAAATTATATCAGATTAAAATTCATTGCGTTATATCTCTTACATCATCTAGGCGTTTCCCTCATAATTTAACTTACTGTCTTTCTACTAAAAAAATCTGAGCTATGTTTAAAGTAAGTTGTAGTGTTTAGCTCACGACAACATACCAGCAAGCGCACATAAGCACACACAGAAATGATAATGCATGAAAAACTTCTGGAAAACAATTATCTGCATATTGTTTTATAATACACCATGATCTGAAAAACGCTTAATTTCAACAGTTTATCATTCCAATTTAGGAAATTGGCCATGGAGTTTTTCTTTACAGCGTCCATAAAAAAAATGCCCAGTGCTTACATTATCTGACTTTATACTCTGGACCATCAAGTGCATGATGTATACTTCTCCCTGGGGGAGTTCACATTCAAGTTTATCCTTCTCAAAAGCAGCAGCTATATATGCGGTAATGACAACAGACTACTTCTACACTACACTAAACTGTTCCCGGGCAAATCAGATGCAACTATATTAGAAATGACCTCTAAGAGGTAAAAACATGGGCTATTAATTAGGGAATAATAATAAAATGGAAAGCAGTGGGAATTGATTTACTGGAAGCAGGATTGGGCCCATTTGCTTTGATTCTGGTCAGACTGGCTAATGGCAGGTGATTTAAAATAGGCTCCTAAAGCCAATTAATGATTACAAGTGGACAATGTAAAATTGACCTGCATTCTCCAATTATAGTATTTACAAACGGTTTTTAGAAAACAAAATGCCACGTTTAACGTTCTTTTAAAATACTTTGCTTGATTATTTTTTTCTGCTCAGTAATAATATTATTCATAATTGCAGTAAATATAATTAATCTTATCAACATTTCCCATATGGCTTACTATGAGTTTGCTCGGAAGCTATTTGGATGGAGACCCTCCAACCGGCTTTAACATTCTGCCTTGTTTTTTTAATGGTGGTTTTTAAATTATTTCCTCTTATCTATGATTACTTTGTCTACGGAAAGGCTTCTCTGCTAATAGCAGGTTTCCAGTTGCAATCCGTGTTACAACTTGTGGACAACAGTCTCAATGGGTAGTCAATGATGACACCAGAACAAAAGTCGTATTGCCTAACAACTACTGGTCACATCATCGATTTTTGAACAGAACTCCCTGCTGAGATCTAGGGCAAACTTCAGGTTTCTTTTTTTCTTTTTCTTTTCTTTTTTTAAGTGATACCACATTGACCTGTTCTCGATAAGATTAAATGGTGTCAACAAAAACCGATAAGAAATATAATACAGATTCCTTTCATCTGCAATAATTAATGCAATTGAAACCACAACACAGTCCTGCGAGCCTCACTCCTGCAAAACTTCCTAAGATCTTTAATTGTTTTGCCCGAGGAAGGACTGAGTCCCTTAACTGTAAAATATCTAAAATCAGGACATACATTTGTGGGGTACCTGAGGAGGAAAAAAATTAAAAGGTTTGGGCGTGATGCCATTGCAAAACAATGTACACTAAGCAATAAACCAGCACTTCTAAACACTTCTTCTTTTACGTCTTTGCCTTTTTAAAACCTGCACATATAGGGTCAGATCCTGGTCCAACTGAAGTCCAAAACAAATTCCTCCGGACTCAAACGGTAGCAGAAACTCCGTTATATTGTAATTGGCTTCCCCTCCCCCCGAAAAGTTTGGTGTCTTGGAGGCATACCTGCTAATCGGGGCATTCACTGGGCGCAATAATCACTCGGAATGTCAACATCCCAAAGGGCTGCCTGACATCTTAAGGATTTCTCTATAAATGAGAAGGAAATAAAGAATAAATACAAGGTAGTTGTGCAGGTGTAAAAAAGCATTTGTTCCTACAAAACAGAAAAGCCACCAAGTCATCACGCCAATCCAAAAGGCTGAAAGAATTAAACGATTTTCTGAGTTTTCTCATTAGGACCCCATATTCGAGACAGTGCTGGTTGCTAGATGAAAGGGAACAGATAAATGAACTGACCCCATTGAGATTTTTTGGAGGTGTTATTTCCCAGCTATATTTAAAAAACGAGGACCCCCTCCCCCAAACAATAAAGAAATGACACGCGTAATTTTCCCACTGTTTGCCTCTATAGTTCACTTTTATTATTTTCCAAAATGAGCGTCCACCGAAATTATCTGAAATGGCAGAAAATAAGAAGGTGGAGTCTTAAAAGATGCTCAGCCGCCTTCAAGAGTCCTTGAACTTAACACTGAGGTCGGGCAGCGCCTGCAAAGTAGCTTGGGGGGGGGGG